CATGCACACGCCCGGCACCGCACGGCAGCGGCACCATGGCGCACAGCACGCACCGCCAGGCAGCAGCACGGTAGCAGCACCATGAGGCGCGTGCACGGCAGCGGCACCCTGAGGCATGCGCACGCACTGCACGGCAGTAGCACTGCGCGCACGCACCGCGCGGCAGTGGCACCATGAGCCGCGCGCACGCACCCGGCAGCACCAGTAGAGCGGGGCCCACACGACAGCTCATTGGGGTGGTGTTATGGGCCCGAGCGTAGGATCGCGTCACGGGTCGTTCCACGGCAGGAACCCCTGATCTTCCCTTGCCTTTGGCCTTGCGCACAGACCCTATTTTGCCTATCTAGTGGGTGATTTGTCCAAGAGACCACCCGAACTCTCCCTTGGGGTGATTTGTCGAAGAGACCACCCAAACTCTCCTCACTCTTTTCTTGGCTGGAAAACTGAATACTTTATTTCAATTCGTGGCTCCTTAAATAGGAGCTTACAGAAGGAAATTCCTAATTAAAATCAAACTGAATGCTTTATTTCAAAACCGAAGCCTAATTAGCGACCTACGTCACATGACGGGCAACCTCCCTATCCGCCAGCAGGGAGCACTAGATCGTGTAACATCAGATATTATGTAAAGAGAGTTTCTGTCTATAGGTGATTCGGGGGCAACAAGATTTCCTGTAAGTGAAAACTCTACACACTTTGAAAACATGTAAATTCAATTGTACATCAGAAACATTTGTCCATGAATTTAACACACATGTATTTGAGATATTCACTATGACAATTATATGCTATGTGCACCGTGTAAGGCCATGGTTGGTGGTCTGTCCTTCCAAAGCTTGAGGAGAATGGCCATGGAGACAATGTCAGTGATATGGGTCTGGTGGGTGAATTGTTATTGTGTGCATGGAATCCTATTTATATCAATCAATTCGAGCCTCCCATAATCCAGAATTTTCTTGGCTTTCGTTTTTTTCCATTTCCCCTTTATTTATTATTCTAGAATGTTTTAATACTTAATAAATTCATAAATCTGTAATTAGATAATTAATTGGTCTAAAAATAGTCTTGTCTTACCCAGGTTTAGGCTAGGCTGGATCCGCTAAGTTAATGTATTTCTATAACCAGCATCCTCTAAATTTTGGTCTTAAAGCTATGAGGAACTTAGCAAAAATAGGTCAGGATGCATAGACTAACTTGCTCGATTCAGTTGTATAATAATTTAATGCATACAAGGAAATTAAAATGATGATGATTAATTATTTATTTATTATTAATACATAAATAATACGAATAGACATTAATAATTTCTTTCTATTAATTATAAAAGTTTGCCAGAACTATTGAATAATTGGTGGGGCATGACAAAGGCATTGTCAGACTTGACCCATATCCAATTTGGCTCGATCTAAATTGAACTACAAGCTCAATTTGAATCCAATATATAGGCTGTATTTGGTTGTAATGCAAATATATTTGTACTGATGCAAAACTCTAGCAATATAAATGATTTGAGTGTAAATTCTAACTTATTTTTGTTTCAAAATTTAATTTATTTTGTTTGATGCAGTAAATTAAGGCATGAAGCAGAATAAAGTAAAACCCAAAACAAAATTAAATAAGAATTTGTATTTTTTTTTTCATTTGCACTCCTATGCATTTGTATTGGCTCAATTTGGAAAGAGTATAAATACAAATATGTACAATGCAAATGCATACAAAATAATACAAAATGCTCTGATTTGCACTCTATATTTCTACTCCTTACAAACTGAGCCATTAGTGCAAATAAAATTGCGCTACAACCAAACACAGCCATTGGTTCAATTAAGCTCAACTTGTAAAATTTATAAGCCTTATTGAATTATTTTTTTAATTTTTATATACATTCGAACATATAAAATTTTAAATCTAGCTAGGCTCAAGTGCGACCTTATGCTTTTCTACCAAGGCAAGCTCAAATAATCTAATAGGCTCGGCTTGACTCATATCCAAATTGAAATCAGCCCTCATAAGATAGTTTTCTAGAACATCCCACAGCACATCCCCGTTATATATTGGGAACATCTCTGGATGATGCCTCATCATTTTTGATATTATCATCAGAAGTATTCTCAATACACAGCCGAGATATACCGTAGGATGTTGTGGGAAACTATTTTGTAGGGGACTGATTTGAACTCCTCATATCCACCCAAAATCCTAAGTCCTGATAATATTTAACCTTATCTACTACAATGGAGCTGGCGGCCTTGGAAATACAGACATATATACAGTACTATAAGAGATTATTGGTATCGGACAGCGAAGACATGGCGTGTAGAACATACAAGCCGGACAAAAGAAGGGAGATGTTTTGTCCTAAGTCATTACATGAATTGCAATTATGGAGATGTCCTAAGTCATTACATCCAATGTTTTCGAATCATGTTGGTCCGGACAGTCAGTCAGACCGTTTGGCTCAAAAACCGTTTATGCAACTATTCTATTTTACTTTAATTTCAGTCTTTGGCCAAAAACTGTTAAATTGGTTGATATCATCTATTGATCTAGGTAATAAAATTATTAATATGTTTAATGGTTTTTTATCATTTTTTTAGTTTTAATTATTTTTTAATTTATATTTTTTTTTATCGAAATGAACTATTTGTTCGAACCAGATAATCAATTATCAACCTAAAAACCGGTGGACTGAATTTCAAGTTTCGAATCGATTTTTATAATATTGATTACATCCAATAACTTTCCTAATTTCAAGAATAGGAATTGGCCGCGTCTGTAGTCAACTAGTCATCGCCACCGCAGCCGGCGATGGATAGATCATAGACGTCTCTATGGCCTTCGATAATATATAGATTCTGCCCGCAATAAGAATTAGGATTTTGCCGCGTCTCTGGCATACCTGCCGCTTAAGGACAAGCTCTCACGTCCAAGGCAAGGACCAGGAGATTGTCTTCCACTGAACACTGATTTCTTCAGCAGTGTTGGGTGGTGCAAGTCATTGGCGTGATTTGATGTGTCCCGCATATTGCAATTAATCTAGTCATACCACAAGCAATATGAAGGATGACCCACAACACACGTTTTCCACAACTGTGTAGCGTGTTTTGGAACACAGAAACATTCATTAAGTTTTGAAATCATCACCATAAAAGCCTAAATCATTTATAAACGGCTTTGATCTACATAGAGTGCACACGCAGAGTTAGGGGTGTAAATGGATCAAATCATCACTTCTGTTTCAATCGGATCAGATAATAAGATCTGATCAGACATCAGATCGGATGCAGGTCATCTCTATCCGACCTGAGAAGATTCTATCCCATATATATTATATATTTATAAATATAAATATATATAATACATGTATATGTCATTTATTTATAAAATATTGTTTATATTATATTTTTATAAATTTGTTATATTATTTATTTTTTATAAAAAATATATATATATGATGAAAATAATTAAAAAATACTTATATTTTTTTACTTTATTCAAAGTAGTATATTTAGTTTTTCTTTTAATAACTTATTAATTTAAAAAAAAATAAGTCAGATTGGATCAGGTCTGAAAATCCGACTTACCGATAGGATTCAAATTCAAATTGAGTCCTATCTGATCCAATCAAATCTTTAGATTGGATCCAACATAAACTGTATCGGATGGATCGGATTCAAATATACCCTGATTTAAATCCTATCTGATCCATTTACATCCCCTACACAGATTGTTTTTTCTTGTGCCTTAACTCTAAATTTGAATTTGCTTCTCACAGGATGCACTTTCACACTAACCTCACAGTACATTACATTCATGCATTGGAAGTCCCCATGAATGACAACCTACTAATAGGGGGATGTTCCCCACTCCAAGTACTGTGAAGTTAGGGTTAGGCGTGCTATGTTAGGAGCAAATCCAAATTCATGTAACTCTCCTTCGCCTAGCCTTTTCAGCATGACCCCCTGTTACATGTTTATGTCTGCAGCAGATCCGGATGCTGTTGAGGCTGTGACAAAAGCGAGTCTGAATCTGTTTCTCATAGAGCGCTCCTCACATGTATCTCACAGAAATATCTCAGCCGCACATTAAAAACATCTTCTGTAATTATAATATTATCATTCAGGGGAGATGTTTTCGATGCATAATGGGATGTGGCTCTGAAATCGGTGTGAGGAGCTCTCCATGAAGAGCAAATCCCATTTGGGAGGAAGCGTCGTGCTTGTGTGATTAATTGAATTAGGCCCAAAGCTCCCTGCCGGCCTGCCCCATCACAAAAGTAAACGTTCTTGCTCTGATTTTCCAAGGCAGTATTAATTAATTAATTAATTAAGGGATTGGGACTGTAACAGAGCTTATACGAACAGAGTGGAAAAAAAAAAGTTTCACGACCATGTGAATGGTCGACCCTATAAAAAAAGAAAAAGGAAAAAATAAAAAGATTTATCAAACATTTTCTTTATAAAGTCAAACTTTTTTTAAGGTATGTAAGAAGTCATACTTTAAGAGCATACTTTGTGAGTCAACACGATTGCACCGTCTCCTTCCTTTGTATGATACGATAATGCTTACTATGAATGCGGCAAAAGAAAAGCAGCTCAGATTCAATTAACTAGATTCAAAATTCAACGCCAAAGGATTTGTGCCCTTTCACATCCTACCCAAATGCCCCTAAGGATGGCCATCTCTTGGCTTTGGCTGAATTGGGTATAAATTATAATCGTCTAGTTATATTATGGCGGTGTTTGGAAATGATGTCATGTTTTGAGAGGCATTTTCTCATAAAATGGGGCTGCATAAACATGTTGACTCTTAAAAAATGTTTTCAAAATTTTTTATTTAGGTTCAGTTTGGAGAGAGTATAAATGTAAATATATAAAGCATTAATACATACAAAATATAAGGTTTTGCACTCTATATATTTGCATTTGTATTCCTTTCGAACTCAGCTTTAGTCTCAGTTTGGAAGGAGTATAAATACACAAATGTAGACTGCAAAACCTGATATTATGTATTATTTTGTACCTATTTGTACTGTATATATTTGTATTTATACTCTTTCCAAATTAAGTCTTAGTACCATTTTATTATTGCCACATAGGCATTTTTCAAAGTCACATGAACACATTATTATTAGCAATAGTAAAAAAGAACAGGAAAACACCAAAATATGACATTTTCTCAAACCACATCTTTCCTAATTTCGTAGGCATGGATAGAAAAAGTTTTTCGAAAAAACAACTAATCAAACAACAGACATTTTCTCAGAAAACGGATTTCTGATGTGACATCATTTTATGAGAAAACTGCACCGATCCCAAACACATAATATCCTCCTTACAAAAAAAAAAAAAGCTGAGATTTCCACCTTGTATGTTGGGGAAAGTGATACTTGACAAATTGAATGTTCAGAACTCAGCACTTTGCCCTAACTTCTTGACGATAAAGATAAAATCACTAAGATGCCCATTGAAACTTGAAAGTTTGATGGTCTGACACATCCATGAGCACATGAGCACTTTGATATCACTCTCAAGTCTCAATGACCAACTGATGCATATTTTCCTTTGCAAACAACAAACCCCTCTTAGGTGCCATAATTTCCGCATGAAGAGAAGACCAGCTTGCTCTGGGATGTCCACTAGCTCAAGTTTAAAAGCTAGAACCCCCAAATAGAATTTGTATTTAACTCCCTAAACTACTCCAATACAGTATAAAAAGATGAAACAGCATTCCCTTTAATGGTGGGAGAGATCACAGATTAAAAATTAAATAAATAACAACAATACACTGGCAGATGCCTCCTACCTTTTAGTTTTGCTTGAAAATGATCCAGCAAATGAAAAGAATATCTTTCCTATTCCGTTCCAACCAGTTGATGAGAAAAAAAAAAAAAGGTTATATTCCGCCTAAACTATAAGAGGTTGGTAGGCCGTTTTTAGTTCTTACACTCTTCCGACTGTGCATGGTTGAGTTTATCAGTTAATCTTCCTTTTAATTTCATGTTTTCCTTAGTTTATTCTTTTCTTATTCCATATCATAGATTTCTTTAAGATGTACAACTATGAAAGTTTATACTCATCCCCAAGTCAAAGTCTCCTCTTAATGTCAATGCCATCCGTGCCATGATATATCAAACTAGCAAATAACAATAACATAAATCGGAGTTCATAATTCCTCAAAGTCAAGACCGGAAACTTGTATTAAAGGGATTTCTTAGGAAATATAGTTTGAGAAATGGGAAGAATCCAAAATGAAACCCATATTTCTTACCTTCAATATACCCTATGACCCTTGAGTATAGCAGAAATTGCAGAGACTATAGTTGGAGAAAATGGGAAGAGTTCAAAGTGAAACACATCTTCCATATCCTCCTTTACAAATCCAGCCTCAAGCCCCTCCTCCCCAATTCCAGTCCCAAGGCTCCGCCCTACCACTCCAGCCCCAACCCCAAATCTACTCTTACCCGCCACCTCAACAGCCTATTCACCAATCTTATCCCCCAGCGGAGCAACCTCTGCACATTGCCCCTCCGCCCTACCACAACCACAATTTTCAACAAGGAGGCAACTTTCCGGCAGCTCCACCAGCCCCACAAAGTGCTTCACTGTTACCTGCATCGAGTAACGCTGTGGCAGCGTTTCCGCAACCTGTACAAAGCTCTTCAGTGGGATCTCCATTGAATAGAGTCGCCCCAGGTCCTCAGACCTCCTACCAAAATGCCGCACCAGGAATGCAAACGCTGTTGCACTACACAACAAGGCCCGCTCGCCGGGCCAATAGTGCCAATATTGGCACAACGCCATGGACAACTGAGCTCTTTGATTGCATGCAAGATCCAACCAACGGTACACTTACCTCATCCATACTTGTCTAATTTCCTTTATGGGTATGAGAGTTGAAATCTTAGGATGGTGAAAACCTCCCAAGTGTGTGGATATGAAACCTACACCGCTGAATGATAATCCGGGGATCATGAAGAAACTCTGTATTTGACAGAAAACAAGAGAGAGAGAAACAGAAAGTTGAGGGAAAGTTCTTAACAATAAGATTCTGATAAATCTGTTTCTTTTTTATTTCTACCAAACTAAGCACGGACTAAGGGTGTCAATGTGTCATGGAAAAATTAGTTACATTAATAATGGGGTTCTATTTTCTTGTCATTTTGCAGCTCTCACCACAGCATTTTTCCCTTGTATAACTTTCGGGCAGATCGCTGAGATTCTGGACAATGGACACACAAGTAAGGCAATTATAAAGAAAACGAAGGCCCACTTCAAATGCTCTAAGGATTTAGTTGTTTTCATTGTGGCTTCATCATCGTATGTTTCGTTTTGGTGCAAATTGCAGCTTGTGCCACTAGTGGAATTATCTATGCCTTCTCGCCCTGCATTCTATCTCGCGGGTATCGCAGAAAGTTGAGGCAGAGGTTTGGGTTAGTTGAAGCCCCTGCCTCGGACTGGCTAATACACTCCTTATTCGAACAGTGTGCCCTTTGTCAAGAATACAGGGAGCTCAAGAACCGTGGAATCGACCCTTCACTTGGTAACCCAACAACCGATCTCTGATCTCTCCCATATGATTCTATCGATTTGTTTTGTAATTCCTGTTTGATTTTTATGTTTAAGGGGTTGTTAGTTCTAAGAATATCGAATGCATGGAAGAGACTGGAATTTCTTTCTGATGTGGTGTTCATTTGCAGGATTACAAGGAAATATGGCCAAGAGTCAAAGTCAAAAAAATGAACTAGCTGCGATGGTTCCTCCCCAGAATCAAACTATGAAGTAAATAGGGTTGTGGATGAGAGTCTACTTTAATGTCGTTTTTTGTTGATGTATTTCGTTTGGCACAATGAAGCAATCTTTTAATTAATTTTACTATCGGGTTGTAATTGGAGATGCTTTCTCCTCCTCGTTAATTTTAAAATTTTAATTTCTAAATGTCACGTAAGCGGGGATAGCTCAGTTGGGAGAGCGTCAGACTGAAGATCTGAAGGTCGCGTGTTCGATCCACGCTCACCGCATTACTCTTTTTTCAGGGATAATGACTGATCAGTCCAGGCCAGAATTTTATAGTTGGGATGCATCCTCACCGTGGATTGATGCCAAATTCACGGACAGTAGGCTACTATTAGACTATGGGGAGCTGTAATTCAGAATTCTGCGTGTTTAGTACTTAACCCTTTTGTCTACTCTTTACTTTTGTGTTGTGGTAAACAGAAAATTTTTGGGTAAATTAGAAAGGCCCCTACTTTTTTTTATATGAAATAAAATGTGCTACACAAATTAGGGGGAGGCACAACCCCAAAAGTCACTAAAACAAATAAAATATAGATCCTTCGGAAGATTACAAGAGTTAAAAGTAAAAAAGAATGAGAAGAAGACATTGTGAGTGAGCTAATCCGTCGCTTGGTTTGCCTCACTAAACACGTGCTTGTATCGAACACCTCACTCCAGCAATTCCTTCAACTTTAAGCAACCCAAAATGATGTTCCTAAGATTCTACAGTGGAGATATCTGCTCTTTTAAGCTGGCAATAACAATTTTTGAGTCCCCCTCAATCGTAGCTGGGCGATCATTAAAGTTAAGGGCCAGATAGTGGGCCTCCCACGCAGCCCAAGCATCAACCACATTAATAGAAGTATTGCCGAGAGTGAAGCATTTGGAATCCAAGACCCTGCCCAAATGGTCTCTAACAACTGCCACAATAGAACAAAAACCATCTCTCTAACGAGAGGCATCAAAGTTGATCTTAATTTCACCATACTTGGGGGGATCCAAGTAATAAGATTATATTTTTTTCCTCTCTATGTTATGATCCGATTTATCTAAAAGCTCCTGAAACCCTGCAAACGCCTTGCCTGTCTTCTTGGCAATAAGTAGGGATCATCCTTTTTGTTTTTAAATATTTTCCTATTCCTATTCTTCCATATTTGCCATAGAATGAACACATACTTTTCCTTCAGCATATTTTTCTCTGCAATGTCTCTCTTGTGAATAGTAGTCCACCTATGAACCATTTGATTACTCTCCCCGTTAAAATTATCAGGATTGATATCAACGCAACCCCAAACTTGCTTAGCAATGATGCTGTCCAAGAAAATATGCTTTACATCCTCCCTAACCCCACACCAAGCATAGTCCTCAACAATATTAGCACCCCTCTTACGAAGGTTGACCTCAGAGAGGAGCTTGTTATTAAGCATGAGATACAAGAAAACCTTTAACTTCGGGGGGAAACTAACATTCCACACCGTCAAGAACCGGTTCAAAGGGGACTCACACAAGAAGTTACTATTACTTAACAGTTCGTAAGCAGACCTCATGGTGAAAGAACCTCTCAGAGTTAAACCCTAGACTAATCTATCTTGTTCACCATCCATCGGAATGAATACGACTTTAATTTTGTTCCAGATGTTCACTGGGATAAAATTCCGAATTTTTTCCTCCATCCAAACCCCTCTCTCCTTATCAATATAATCACTTACAACTTCTTCTTCATTGATTGTCCCATGATTAGGGGGATACCCCAATAGGAGGCCACCCTCAACCCAATTATCTGTCCAGAATTTAATTGAGTTACTATTACCAAGTTCCCATTTGAGACCCCTTTTCAGGAGATCTCTTGTACAAAAAACTCTCCAAGCCTAAGAGATTCCTTTCCTTTTCTTACTCTTCCACAGACTCTCCTTACTCAAATATTTTCCTTTCACTATTTTAACTCAGATGTTATCTTCTTCATTAAGAATTTTCCATCCAAGCTTGGCCAAGCTAGCTTCATTCATCCACTTGAGCTTCTTTACCCCTAAACCACCATTTCTCCTTAGAATACACACTTATTCCCAATTAAGAAAATGAATAGGAATTTTACCATTATCTTTGTCTTAGAGAAAGTCTCTCTACATTCTATCAACTTTCTCAATAGTATTCTGAGGGACTTTAAAGGATCTCATAATGATAAGAGGAATCATGGTCATTACAAAATTCAACAAAGTTGATCTCCCAAAAATAGATAATGTTTTCTTTTTCCAGCTTGAGAGTCTCGTGCTAACATTTTCTTTTAAATCCTTAAAAGTATTTTTCGTGACTCTAGAATTGATAACAGGGGCACCCAAATACTTCTTTGATTTAGACTGAATAGAAATCTTTAAAATTTGAGTTATTATTTTTTGGAATATATTAGGGATGTTATCGGAGAATTGAACCACTGATTTATTGAAATTCGGACTCTAGCCTGAGGCCCTAGCATATTCTAAAAGAACTTTCGAATTTTGAGACCAGCATCTAAAGAGGGTTTAGCAAAAATGATACAATCGTCTGCACACTCTAATATTGGGATTTTTGGGCACTTCTTAGCAGCTCTACAACCAATCGAGTTTCCATTCTCATTAGCCTCTTTCTCAAGCTTTCTGGCTAAAGCCTCTGCACAAAGAATAAATATGTATGGAGAAAGAGAGTCACCTTGCCCGATACCTCTAGTAGGTTTGAACTCTTTAGATGAAGTGCCATTGATAAGAATCTAAAAGGAGACAATCTTCATACACTCCATCACCCACCCAATCCATTTATGGTGGAACCCAAATTTCCTTAGGATTTTCTCAATAAAATTCCATTGTAGCCTATCCTAGGCTTTCTCCATGACAACCTTACAAGTCATAATTCCCTTCTTGCCTTTCTTTCTTCTCATCAAATGGAACATTTCGTGAGCAATTAGGATATTATTATTGATTTGTCTATTATGAACAAAATCACTTTGGTACGGGGAAATTAAATCATCAAGGAATGGTTTTATTCTATCACCAAAATTTTTTAGATAACCTTGTAAATCACATTACAGAGACTAATGGGTTTGTAGTTATTAATTGTCTCTAGATTCTCTACTTTCAGGATAAGAGTTAAGAACGTTTTGTTCAGAATGGGGCACAATTTCCCAGTGAAGAAAAAAGGACTTAACAATCCCACAAAAGTCATCCTTGACAATGTTCCAAAATTTCTTAAGAAATAGGGCGTTAAGACCATCCAGACCAGAAGCTTTGAGATCCCCAATAGATTGGAGGGCCTCAAAGATCTCCTTATCAGAAACTTCTCTAATAATAAAGTAGTTTTGCTCCTCAGAGACTTTCATTGAAATCTCTATTATGAAGTCATTGATCCTGACAAAGCCTTCGCCTTTAAATCTTTTTGCAAACTCATGAGCAAAATAATTTGCAATTTATGAGTGATTTTCAATTTTATTACCTTCTTTGTTGAAAATATAGGTGGTTCTATTTCTAGCTCTTCTTATAGTCACAAAAACTTGAAAAAAATCTATTATTTTTATCACCAAGATTGATCCAATCAATTCTAGCTTTCTAGGCCCAATAAATTTCTTCTCTCAAGAGAATATTATTTAATTGTTTTTGAAGGACCAATTCAAGGTTCCTAAGAGATTTTCTGTTTTCTTGATTAATTAGTTGTAATTGAACCTTCTCAAGGGCTGAGATTATGACATTTTTTTTTATATATTTCCAAACCGAGTTTTGTTCCATATTCTCAGCTTACAGACGAGATTACTTCTTTTTCTTATAAATCTCATTGCTCTATATCCATTCGAATTAAAATTCCAGGCTTGGTTAACTATTAGCTCAAGGTTCGGATCTAGACACCACATGGCTTCAAATTTGAATGGTTTCGGCCCATAATTTTAATCTGAATTGGTATAAAGCACCAATGGGGTATGATCAGAAGCCATAAATGGGAGATTTTTTAGGAGAGCCAAGGGAAACAACTGTCTCCATTCGTCATTCACTAAGGCCCAATCCAGTTTTTCCCATTTATTATTGTTCTTCCATGTATAGGGATTACCCTCCATTTCCAGCTCCATAAGATCACACTCAAAAATGAGATCATTAAATTCCTTCATTTGACTAGGCCTCACGTCTCTACCACCCCTCTTATTCACACTCAACCTAAATGAATTATAATTCATTGCTCAATTTAAAACAATATCCTTGATCCAAAACCACACAATTTGTTGCTCAATTTTAGCCAAAGGAGCATAAATGAATGTCCAATTCCAAGAGACATTAGCGCCAATTTCACATGAACCAATCTATCATTAGAAAAAATGACATGAAGGTTGCAAACATTTTTGTTCCATAAAACCCATAAGCCTCCTAAAAAAACCAGCTGACTCAATTAAAATATGATTAACAAAAGGGAAAGATTTAATGATCTTTTTAGCTTTATCTAGATTAACTCTAGTTTCCATAAGACAGCATACATCAATTTTGTGAACTTTCAAAATCTCTAAAACTTGGCACCGAAGGCATTTCCTCACAGCCCCACGGACATTCCAACTAAGAATCTGCATCACTGTTCACATTTCTAATAGGACCTTTGTTGTCCTGCTCCAGTTTGGCGATCTCTTGGTTCAACATCTCTTCATAAGACATCATGTTACCATCAACTTCTTTAAGGCTTTCTTCTTTATTGAGAGGTTTAATGTTTTCCCAATTGTCCAACATCTCATCGTCACCCCCTTCTTCACTCTCCTGCTTCTCCTTGTCTTCCCTGACCACCTTATGCGAAATTGCAACAATTTTCTCAGCATTTTCCTTAACAAACTTTCTTTCCTGTAAAAATTAACATTAGTAGTGTTCACCTTAATTTTTTCCAGGTAATTGCCTATCACCATATCAAATATGTTATAGTAACCAAGATTCTCTGTCTGAATTTCTTTCCCACTGTTACTTTTCTATATCCATTTCTGCTGGTGAGACCTGAGGAGGGCAGATTTGACCCTCCAGTGAAATTGCGACACGAGGCACCTCGTGACAAGTAGGCAAGCACCCAGGCAACAACTTACCAAGTTGGTGTCCCCCCCGGGCACTGGTCTGGCTGGCCTGGCGCGACCTGCA